TTCTGCAGTGTTCATAGTATGCACTAAACACACAGATGTTCTGCATTTGTCCAGATGTGCAATCTTAGTCATTATTTTCTTCAGGACTTTATTCCTGAACTTTATTAATTAATAACCATAACGAGGTCATGTCTTAATGTATCGTAGTCAGTATGCAGTGCAGTTTTATTTTAGTATCGAGATAGTATACATTTTTATTAATACTCTGAATTAGTTTTTATTTTTATGTTTTCTTTTTAATTTGATTTAGTTTTAGTAATTTCATTGTGCTTTTTGTCATTGTTTTTTTTTTTAAATTCTATACAGTTTTTATTCATTTTAATTTCAAACTAAAATAAGTTTTAGTTATTTCAGTATAGCACGTTAAACTAAATGACAATGAGATGCTGCCTTGGCAACTAGCTAAAGTAAAATCAGCATTATAATGGTTTTTGGTGGTTTTAGTTCTGATAGTAACCCGGGCTGCCGGTGGTCTTGCAGAGATTCTGGTTCTGGGGACGGGGGCTCGTACGGAGCGTCTGGATCCAAGCGTGCTGGACTTCCTGAAGAAGAAGGGCATCGCTGTGGAGGTTCAGGACACGGTAAACACGTCTCTGCGCTCGTCTGGAATAAACCCACACGTTACAGCAGTTTAACAGTGAAACGTTTCTCCTCGCAGCCTAACGCATGTGCGACGTTCAACTTCCTGTCCAGCGAGAGACGGTTAGCCGCGGCAGGCCTGATCCCTCCTCCTGCGGCCGAATAACAGAGAACAGGACTCTGGGAAGCCATGTTCTCTCAGTACAGTGTGTCACGTGATCTCTGGCTGTAGTGTGTGTGAGTGGAGAGTGAATAAACACAGATTAGAGGTATTAACACACGTCTCTGTCCTCTGTGATAACGGGTTAGTCTGCGCTCGTGTGATCAGACACATAGATCACACTCTTTATTAGCGCCACATACACAGCACTATCATCTAGCACACAATCATCACACGACACAAGACTGCCAGTGCAAATCCCATTCTTCTGCACTTTGGGATCCGATCATATTTAGCAAGCATCAACAACAACTAAATCGGTAACACTTTATTTCGATAGTCCACTTTAGACATTCTACTAACTGTAAGTAACTTTGCAGCTACATGTCAACTAGCAGTTAGTAGAGTATTAGTAGACGTCTGCTTAATATCTTCTAACACTTTATTTGGATGGATCCACAACATACTGACTACGAGAAACTTTGCAAGTATATGTCAACTTATTCTACTAACCCTAAACCTACCCTAACAGTCTACTCTGAGAGTGAAGATGAAGATCTAGATGAGAAACACAAGCGGTCAGCGTCCTCTGGCTGGTGCTGATGTCTTTGGAGCAGCTTTCCTTTCCCACATCCCATCGATTTAGAAGGAGCAGAAACCTGGAACCTCTTATAAAGCTGTTCAGAAGAACAAACGTTAATATGTGTGTGTGTGTGTCTGTGTGTGAGTGTGAGTGTAAGTATGTGTGTGTGAGTGTGCGTGTGTACGTGTGTGTGTGTGTGTGTGCGCGAGTGTGTGTGTGAGAGTGTAAGTGTGTGTGTGTGCGCGTGTGTCTGTGTGTGCGCATGCGTGTGTGAGTGATTGTGCGTGCGTGTGAGTGTGCGCGTGTATGTGTGTGTGTGTGTGCGTGTGTGTGTGCGTGCGCGTGTGTGTGAGTGTGTCTGTGCGTGTGCGTGTGAGTGTGTCTGTGCGTGTGCGTGTGAGTGTGTCTGTGCGTGTGCGTGTGAGTGTGTCTGTGCGTGTGCGTGTGAGTGTGTCTGTGCGTGTGCGTGTGAGTGTGTCTGTGCGTGTGCGTGTGAGTGTGTCTGTGCGTGTGCGTGTGAGTGTGTCTGTGCGTGTGCGTGTGAGTGTGTCTGTGCGTGTGCGTGTGAGTGTGTCTGTGCGTGTGCGTGTGAGTGTGTCTGTGCGTGTGCGTGTGAGTGTGTCTGTGCGTGTGCGTGTGAGTGTGTCTGTGCGTGTGCGTGTGAGTGTGTCTGTGCGTGTGCGTGTGAGTGTGTCTGTGCGTGTGCGTGTGAGTGTGTCTGTGCGTGTGCGTGTGAGTGTGTCTGTGCGTGTGCGTGTGAGTGTGTCTGTGCGTGTGCGTGTGAGTGTGTCTGTGCGTGTGCGTGTGAGTGTGTCTGTGCGTGTGCGTGTGAGTGTGTCTGTGCGTGTGCGTGTGAGTGTGTCTGTGCGTGTGCGTGTGAGTGTGTCTGTGCGTGTGCGTGTGAGTGTGTCTGTGCGTGTGAGTGTGCGTGCACGCGTGTGTGAGTGTCTGTGCGTGTGCGTGCGCGTGTGAGTGAGTGTGTCTGTGCGTGTGAGTGCACGCGTGTGTGAGTGTGTGTGTGTCTGTGCTTGTGAGTGTGCGTGCGCGTGTGAGTGAGTGTGTCTGTGCGTGTGAGTGTGCGCGTGTGTGTGTGTGTGTGGGTGTGTGTTACTCGGTGGCGCAGTGGGACAGTCCGATGCAGGTGCGTCTGAGTGCGTGGCGCGCGGGTCTGAACACGCTGCTGGTGGAGCTGCTGCCGTGGGCTCTTCTGGTGAACCGCTCGCACTGGGACCTCTGGATGTTTGAGGCAGAGAGCAGTGTGTCTGTGTGTGTGAGTGTGCGTGTGTGTGTCTGTACTGGTATTCCCTACATTAAGAGGGCCAAATGACTCCACAAGTATAGTAATGCCAGTAAATTATGACTTTCTGGGGACATCTTTTGGTCCCCCTGAGGAAACAAGCTTACAAATCATACAGAATGAAATGTTTTGAGAATCTAAAAATGCCTGTAGTTCTGTGTGAGGGGGAGGTTTAATACAGTTTGTAGCCATTACGCCTATGGAGTGAGCCCATAATGATAGGGATACCAGTGTGTGTTTTCATGTATATACCGGTATATATACCTCCTGCAGAGGGGAAATGAGGCACTTTCTCCTCCATAATACGGGCTGGAGTCCATATGAAGGACCCTCTTCCCATTGACTGACATCAGTCCAGATCAAACACACTCCTGCAGCACACAGATCACTGATCATCACACACAGATCTAGCGTGAGCTCCAGATCACCTCCGCACACCGGCCTGGACGTCTCTAGTGTTGCTAGTCAGAGCTCGACCAGCTGCTCCAGGTGTGTTTGATTGGGGTTGGAGCTGAACTCTACAGGACTGGACACTAGTCTGATCTCAGATCAGGATGTGAATGTTTCTTACCTTCAGTCTGGTTCCCAGAACAATCACATCAAACTCCGGCATCCTGACGCTCTGCGGCCGAATCCAAACACACACTTCATCCGCCTCAGCCATGTGTGTGTGTGTGTGTGTGTGTGTGTGTGTGTGTGCGTGCTCACTGTGTGTGTGTGTGTGTCACTCTAAACAACACGTCTTGCAGATGTAATGCAGACGTCTCTGAGATGTACGCGTGCTGTCATGAGTGTCCAGAGACTGTGTGTGTGTGTGAAACAATAAAAATAATGAAACAATAAAACACAATTTATAACCGTAATAAAATGAAGCTTCTGATTAATATATAATAATATATTGATGATATTCATACATGAACCGAGCACTCAGTCCAAGTTCAGTATATTTATATATCATTTCAAAGCAGCTTTACAGAAAATCTTTATATCTTATAGCTGCATTAATCAGATTAGAGCTGGACGACTACATTTCCCAGCATGCTCCGCGCACTTTGGGATCCGATCATATTTAGCAAGCATCAACAACAACTAAATCGGTAACACTTTATTTTGATAGTCCACTTTAGACATTCTACTAACTGTAAGTAACTTTGCAGCTACATGTCAACTAGCAGTTAGTAGAGTATTAGTAGACGTCTGCTTAATATCTTCTAACACTTTATTTGGATGGATCCACAACATACTGACTACGAGAAACTTTGCAAGTATATGTCAACTTATTCTACTAACATTAAACCTAACAGTCGACTCTGAGAGTTAGTAGACCTGTAGTTGCAAATTAATGAGAATGTAGTTACAATGTAACTTATAGTTAGTAGAATGTCTAAAGTGGACTATCACAATAAAGTGCAAAAGTGTTTCAGTCTGACTGCTGTGTCACTTTCTCATAGAAACCAAAGAGCGCTATGGGACACAGTCGGACACAAATAATCAGATCTGGACTGAGAGTGTAAACGTAGCTTTAACTACTGTAAGACTCGAAGAAAAACGTCGACATCTGCTAGAGGAGATGCAATGAAGCAAACACTGCAACACGTCAAACGCCAGTTCAACCCAATTCATGTTTATTTGTGTAGCGCTTTTCACGATACAAACCGTTGCAAAGCAGCTTCACAGAAAAGTAGAGTTTCTACATTATATTGAGGAGTAGCTGATCAGTGGTGACCACGTTCACTGCACAAACTAACATCAGGAACATTACGATTATTGTTGCTGTTCTACAGTGAAGTCTCGGACGTGAATGTGTGTTGTTATGCGTCTGTCACAGAAAATCCACTGCAGGGGGAAATACTGAGCCTTGAAGAGATCGTCCAGCCAGAAATCATCATCCTGTCATCTACGACTCTCCCTCTTCTGTAAAACACAGGAGAGGAACCAGAAACACTGGACCCCACTGACGCACACCCGGAGAAACTGCACACGACTGAAATGATAATCAATGCTAATCTAATGAAGAAACAACACTGCAAGTGTGGTTTGTGTTGGATCTCGTCTGGTGTGGTGTCACTCGTTCAGTCGTCAGCGTCGGTCTCTCTGGGGCCCCTGAGGATGAACTCTGAGCCTGTGGCGCGGCGGTACAGATCCATGATGTGGTCGTACGAGCGGGAGATGAAGATCTAGATGAGAAACACAAGCGGTCAGCGTCCTCTGGCTGGTGCTGATGTTTTTGGAGCAGCTTTCCTTTCCCACATCCCATCGATTTAGAAGGAGCAGCTTTACAGAAAATCTTTATATCTTATAGCTGCATTAATCAGATTAGAGCTGGACGACTACATTTCCCAGCATGCTCCGCGCGCAAAGTGACTACATTTCCCAGCATGCTCCGCGCAAAAAGTGACTACATTTCCCGGCATGCTCCACGCCAGACACTTCCTCGACTCGTTTGACCAGTCAAGTTTTGGGAGTTTCGCTCTTTCTCACATTATTAAGCTCGTTTCAAAGCGATAGTTTCGGCAGAGTTGTTGAAGTTACAGACTTTGCATTCGCGGTCGTGAAACACACAGAATGACTGAAGCAGTAAGTCGCATCCATAAGATCCTGCAGTGCTAACACTGTCCGTCTGTCTTCACCTGTCATCTGTCAGTTCTCAGGTGAGCAGCACACAAGCGTTCACACGGACCGGTCCCCCGGGTTCCTGGAGCGTCTGAGCGCGAGCGCCGGCGGCGTGATGGCGGGCGTCTGTCTGCTCGCGCTGTCGTTCTACGTGCTCTTCACGAATGAGGTGAGACCCGATCATTCAGTCGCTCAGTCACGCAGTGCATCCATCTGTCAATCATCTGTGTCTGCAGGGGCGCGCTCTGCGCACGGCCTCCTCTCTGGATGAGGGTCTCAAACAGGTCGTGTCTCTTCATCCGGACGTGATGTTAGACCCTCAGAATGACGGGCGTCTGGTTCACCTGTCCGGGCCGCTGCGGACCGCGCAGGTAATGATGACGTCACGCACATGTGTGCAGATGTCCATAAACAGTGTCACGTGACGTAACGTTTACCTCAAGAAAGACATTCCGCGTCCATAAACTTGGGTGGTGGGCGGGGGGGGGGATAACTATAGAGAGGAGCGTTTCGATAAATATATGCACAATAAACGGAATTAAAAAGTCTCACAGTTCTGACTTTTTCCTCATAATTGTGAGTTTACATTTCACAATTCATATTTTTTCTCACAGTTCTCAGGAATCAGTCAGTATTGCAAGATATAAACTCAGAAGACGATATATAAACTCGTAATTCTGAGAAGTCTGAATTGTGAGATAAGTTGCAATTACCTTTTTTATTTTTATTCTGTGGTGGAAATAAAAACAACAACAACAGAATTGCGAGAAGTAAAGTCTTAAGAATTAAGAGAAAAAACATGAAAAGTGCAATATGTAAACTGTGAGATAAAAAGTCACAATTGCCTTTTTTGTGTTGGAAATGCAACTTCAACACTTAATTATTTAACATATGTTTGAATAAATTGAATGAAAACATAAAAAGCAATTGGATTTAGCAGTTCAGACTCTGTTGTTAATTTTAACCTTTACTATGATAGTAATAAACTGATATTGTTCTCTGGGTAGTCGACAGCTTCAGTTGAGAGACTGTTTTGATGTACAGTACCTGATAGATATGAATCAAATGAACTGAATCGAATCGTCGACTGATGTGTGTCTGTGTTACAGCCGCTGTACGACCCGAACTACGGCGTGACGGTGCAGGCGGTGAAGCTGCAGAGGCGGGTGGAGATGTACCAGTGGGTGGAGTACAGCGAGAGCAGGTCTGTGTGACGCAGCCGCCGTAATCACATCTACTCACATCTACTCACATCTACTCACATCTACTCACATCTACTCACATCTACTCACATCTACTCACATCTACTCACATCTACTCACATCTACTCACATCTACTCACATCTACTCACATCTACTCACATCTACTCACATCTACTCACATCTACTCACATCTACTCACATCTACTCACATCTACTCACATCTACTCACATCTACTCACATCTACTCACATCTACTCACATCTACTCACATCTACTCACATCTACTCACATCTACTCACATCTACTCACATCTACTCACATCTACTCACATCTACTCACATCTACTCACATCTACTCACATCTACTCACATCTACTCACATCTACTCACATCTACTCACATCTACTCACATCTACTCACATCTACTCACATCTACTCACATCTACTCACATCTACTCACATCTACTCACATCTACTCACATCTACTCACATCTACTCACATCTACTCACATCTACTCACATCTACTCACATCTACTCACATCTACTCACATCTACTCACATCTACTCACATCTACTCACATCTACTCACATCTACTCACATCTACTCACATCTACTCACATCTACTCACATCTACTCACATCTACTCACATCTACTCACATCTACTCACATCTACTCACATCTACTCACATCTACTCACATCTACTCACATCTACTCACATCTACTCACATCTACTCACATCTACTCACATCTACTCACATCTACTCACATCTACTCACATCTACTCACATCTACTCACATCTACTCACATCTACTCACATCTACTCACATCTACTCACATCTACTCACATCTACTCACATCTACTCACATCTACTCACATCTACTCACATCTACTCACATCTACTCACATCTACTCACATCTACTCACATCTACTCACATCTACTCACATCTACTCACATCTACTCACATCTACTCACATCTACTCACATCTACTCACATCTACTCACATCTACTCACATCTACTCACATCTACTCACATCTACTCACATCTACTCACATCTACTCACATCTACTCACATCTACTCACATCTACTCACATCTACTCACATCTACTCACATCTACTCACATCTACTCACATCTACTCACATCTACTCACATCTACTCACATCTACTCACATCTACTCACATCTACTCACATCTACTCACATCTACTCACATCTACTCACATCTACTCACATCTACTCACATCTACTCACATCTACTCACATCTACTCACATCTACTCACATCTACTCACATCTACTCACATCTACTCACATCTACTCACATCTACTCACATCTACTCACATCTACTCACATCTACTCACATCTACTCACATCTACTCACATCTACTCACATCTACTCACATCTACTCACATCTACTCACATCTACTCACATCTACTCACATCTACTCACATCTACTCACATCTACTCACATCTACTCACATCTACTCACATCTACTCACATCTACTCACATCTACTCACATCTACTCACATCTACTCACATCTACTCACATCTACTCACATCTACTCACATCTACTCACATCTACTCACATCTACTCACATCTACTCACATCTACTCACATCTACTCACATCTACTCACATCTACTCACATCTACTCACATCTACTCACATCTACTCACATCTACTCACATCTACTCACATCTACTCACATCTACTCACATCTACTCACATCTACTCACATCTACTCACATCTACTCACATCTACTCACATCTACTCACATCTACTCACATCTACTCACATCTACTCACATCTACTCACATCTACTCACATCTACTCACATCTACTCACATCTACTCACATCTACTCACATCTACTCACATCTACTCACATCTACTCACATCTACTCACATCTACTCACATCTACTCACATCTACTCACATCTACTCACATCTACTCACATCTACTCACATCTACTCACATCTACTCACATCTACTCACATCTACTCACATCTACTCACATCTACTCACATCTACTCACATCTACTCACATCTACTCACATCTACTCACATCTACTCACATCTACTCACATCTACTCACATCTACTCACATCTACTCACATCTACTCACATCTACTCACATCTACTCACATCTACTCACATCTACTCACATCTACTCACATCTACTCACATCTACTCACATCTACTCACATCTACTCACATCTACTCACATCTACTCACATCTACTCACATCTACTCACATCTACTCACATCTACTCACATCTACTCACATCTACTCACATCTACTCACATCTACTCACATCTACTCACATCTACTCACATCTACTCACATCTACTCACATCTACTCACATCTACTCACATCTACTCACATCTACTCACATCTACTCACATCTACTCACATCTACTCACATCTACTCACATCTACTCACATCTACTCACATCTACTCACATCTACTCACATCTACTCACATCTACTCACATCTACTCACATCTACTCACATCTACTCACATCTACTCACATCTACTCACATCTACTCACATCTACTCACATCTACTCACATCTACTCACATCTACTCACATCTACTCACATCTACTCACATCTACTCACATCTACTCACATCTACTCACATCTACTCACATCTACTCACATCTACTCACATCTACTCACATCTACTCACATCTACTCACATCTACTCACATCTACTCACATCTACTCACATCTACTCACATCTACTCACATCTACTCACATCTACTCACATCTACTCACATCTACTCACATCTACTCACATCTACTCACATCTACTCACATCTACTCACATCTACTCACATCTACTCACATCTACTCACATCTACTCACATCTACTCACATCTACTCACATCTACTCACATCTACTCACATCTACTCACATCTACTCACATCTACTCACATCTACTCACATCTACTCACATCTACTCACATCTACTCACATCTACTCACATCTACTCACATCTACTCACATCTACTCACATCTACTCACATCTACTCACATCTACTCACATCTACTCACATCTACTCACATCTACTCACATCTACTCACATCTACTCACATCTACTCACATCTACTCACATCTACTCACATCTACTCACATCTACTCACATCTACTCACATCTACTCACATCTACTCACATCTACTCACATCTACTCACATCTACTCACATCTACTCACATCTACTCACATCTACTCACATCTACTCACATCTACTCACATCTACTCACATCTACTCACATCTACTCACATCTACTCACATCTACTCACATCTACTCACATCTACTCACATCTACTCACATCTACTCACATCTACTCACATCTACTCACATCTACTCACATCTACTCACATCTACTCACATCTACTCACATCTACTCACATCTACTCACATCTACTCACATCTACTCACATCTACTCACATCTACTCACATCTACTCACATCTACTCACATCTACTCACATCTACTCACACTCACTCACACTCACACTCTCACTCATGTTCACTCACACTCACTCACTCACACTCACATTCACATTCACTCACACTCACACTCTCACTCACGTTCACTCACTCACACTCACATTCACTCACACTCACTCTCACTCACACTCACGAGAAATATCAGCATGTGCAGTTTGAGTCTCTGAATAAAGTCGAGCTGTTTCTCCTCCATCTTCTCACTGTATCAGATATGATGCATCAGGTTATAGTTAGTCTCTGGTGTGTTGTAGGTGAGTGTGGTGGCGATGCAGCAGAGCAATCAGCTGAAGCCCTTCAGGACGCGCTCCGGAGACGTGCTGGAGATCCTCTACACGGGCGATCTGTCAGCAGAGGTGTGTGGGGTCACAGGTCGCAGGGATCCGCCTCTGCAGGCGTGACGCTCACGTGTGCTTGTGTTCCCGCAGGAGGTGTTTGCCAGAGAACATCAGCTGAACAACATGAAGACCTGGGCGCTGAGGCTCGGCGGCTGGGCGCTCATGTTTCTGGGCGTCAGTCTGAGCACGCGGATCATATACACGCTGGGTAATACTCACACACACACACACACACACACACACACTCGCTCTCACACACACACTCTCACTCTCTCTCTCTCTCTCTCTCACACACACACACACTCTCTCTCAGGGCTGATGGGTAACTGTCTCGTCCTGACTCTCTCTCTGTGTCTGCTCCAGTGGACTGGGTTCCTGTGCTGAGGGAGCTGGTGTCTGCGGGGCTGAAGATCTTCGCGCTCTGCGTCTCGTGTTCGCTCTCACTGCTCACCATCTCCGTCGGATGGATCTTCTACCGGCCTCTGCTGGGTGGGATGATCGCGCTGCTCGCACTCCTGCCGCTTCTCCTCGCACACGCCAGAGCCCCGTCCAAGAAAAACCAGTGACTAGTTTGACGTCTCGAGCAAAGCCTCCAGCAACTCTGAGCTTCTCTGCATTTCTACACAGTGCTGCAGCCGAGAAGACTTCTGTGGGGTTTATAATGGGCTTTCTCAATTCACTAAACAAGACTTGATCACTTTAGTTGTACAACATAAACTGCACACATTCACACCCAAATGCTCTCATGTAGTCATAAACATGCATCTTTTAAAAAAAAAAGCACAACAGCTTCAAAATTCATGTTTTCAGTATGGATGTGTGTAATTTTGAGTAAAACCTCAATATTGTCAAGTTATGTTTACCACAGATCTTACTTTACACTGACAGTGTCTTGTTTTCCAGTAAAAACATTTTTAGATCAAGATACATTTTCTGGAGATTCACAATGACTTAAGATATTAAGTCCTCTTTTCTGGAAAAAAAAAAATCCAAATTAAGCGAGTTTATGGTAAAGAAAAAAAAAACAAATCCTCAGAAAAACGGATCAAAGTTGAGTTTTTGCTCAGAACGAGAATAAATATCTGTCAGTGAGGTCAGGGACATGATTTTGTTTTTCAGTTGAATTAAGATCATTTTTCAGACCACTGTCAGATGTTTATTTTAAGCATGAACTCACTTCATTTTGATCAGTTTTTCAGAAAGCACGACTACACATCTTCTGTTGTTTTGCATCGCCAACAAATGTCTCTTGATGAAAGAATGTTTGTATATTTGTACTAGAAAAAGCTGAAAATACAATGTAAGAAAATCATTTCGTGCAGCGCACTCAAACTAAAACCCCATTATAAACTCCAACTCGCGTCTTCAGCGTTTTCACTTTTATTTTTCCACAGGAACTTTATTTGCAATCTGTTTTTGTGTGTGAAATAAAGAACGAATCCTCAATGACGTGCTGTTTTCAAACAATCAAAGCAGGAGAAACACAAACCAGCAGACGCGTCTTATAAAGGCTTTAATACACAAACATACCAAATTCTGCTGATTGTGAAAGACAAAAGAATGCATTTCAAGTCTGGTCCGCGGCGTGCAGCGCACCTTGGTCCTGATCTGTTGTCTCTCGAAGTCGTCGTTGCATATTTGTGTTTTCGCAGAGTCTGAATGTGGCGAATTCAGTGGTGTACGAACAGAAACGTTAAATACTGACATAAACTCTCAACACTAGGTGAACTGATGCAGTTAGAAGGAATAAAAAGGAGGCGAGCGCAGTCCGTCTACAGCAGCAGGCATTTGCTGCTCTTCTTGCCCTTGCGTGCCTGCAGCGCCGCCCTGGTGGCCATCTCAAACACCTCCCGCACGCCGTCCTTGCTTTTGGCGGAGCACTCCATGTATCCGAAGGCACAGATGCGGTTGGCCATGTCTCGGCCCTCCTCCGGCTTGACGGGCTCCTGCGGGAGAGACAGAGACGTCACAAACCACAGCCGTGTGTTCACAGAAAGGCAATTAAAAAATTGTGCCGATACTAGTAACATCTATATACTGTATAGTGAACAAAACACTAATTATAACCAGGACAAAAAAGATTTTTTGCATAAGTGGGACTTTTAATTATAAACCAGTGTATATTTTAGCATCACTGAGATTCTATTATAGTTTTTATTTTTAGATTTTCTGCTTCCAAGTTAAAGTTGTCAGTTTTAGTAGTTTTTTTATTTCTGCTTTAGTCATTTTAGTACATCAAGTGAGAATTAAAATTAGAAATGTTGCCGTGGCAACTAACTGAAATAGAAAGCTGTTTATACTTAACTTCAGGTAATGTTTATTTTATTTAAAGTAAAAAAAAGTATGTTCTTTTGAGGTTTTGGCTTTGGTTACAAGCCTGAAAATCACAGAGACTCTTATTTTGAAATTCTTTGTGTTTCTGACCTCAGATGTTTTCAGCCGATTCCAATAATCAGGAAGTGCCAAACATGGGCCGATAAATCAGAGCAATATATGAATCGGTTTATATATCCACCTTATTATTAATTATTAACACTTATTTCAAGTAACTTAAATGTGTGTTTTACTGTACAAACAAGCCTGAAACACACAGAGACTCTTATTTTGAAAAGCCTATGCTTTACGAATACAGCTGCTCATTTAAACTTGCGTCTTCATCAGTAGATCATAAGCGATCGTTCGGCATAAATGCTCTGCAGAACGCAAAACAACGGCACATTTGGAGTTTAATAAATCGGCCAAACTTCGGTCCTCCTGAAATTACGCCTTGTGTTACTCCATTTAAGGTTTTTCATTTCTTAAGGACCCACAGGAACCTCAGCGGTCGACCAACAGAGGTTTTTAGCCAACTGATATATAATGTCATGCTACGTAATCTAAAAGTAATAAATAACAGGGTTTGTTTATTTGAGAAATCTGGAGACGGAGAATGGGCTTTCAAAATAAAAGTCCTGCTTCCCACATGTTCAGCCAATGCGCACCTGCTTCATCTTGAAGAGCTCGCGGCGAGTGTGTTCGTCGTGGCGCAGGTCCTTCTTGTTGCCCACCAGGATTATGGGAACGTTGGGGCAGAAGTGCTTGACCTCCGGAGTCCATTTCTCGGGAATGTTCTCTGCGGGTCAGAGGGGTCAGAGGTCAGCGGGCACGAGGCTAGCGTGAGCGCAGCTAGCGCGAGACTCACCCAGGCTGTCGGGGCTGTCGATGGAGAAGCACATGAGGATGACGTCGGTGTCGGGGTAAGAGAGCGGCCGCAGACGGTCGTAGTCCTCCTGACCCGCCGTGTCCCACAGCGCTAGCTCCACCTGAAACACCACACGCTAGCGTTAGCACAGCTCGCGGCCGCACGAACCGCTCGCTCCTCACCTGCTTGCTGTCCACCTCGATGTCGGCCACGTAGTTCTCGAAGACGGTGGGCACGTAGACCTCGGGGAACTGGTCTTTGCTGAAGACGATGAGCAGGCAGGTCTTCCCGCACGCGCCGTCGCCCACGATCACCAGTTTCTTACGGATCGCCGCCATTCCTGCGCGGAGAGAGTCTCGCAGCGTTACTCGCCCGGCCAGACCAGAGAACGACTCGACTCCAACGCCTCCAGAGTATATTTCATCATAAAATCACAATCGGGAAATCAATTGACATTTCATTTATATTGATGTATATTAGTGCTGTCAAACGATTAATCGCATTCAAAATAAAAGTTTTTGTTTACATAATATATATGTGTGTACTTTGTATATTTATTATGTATATATAAATATACACACATGCATGTATATATTTCAGAAAAATATTTTCTGTAAATACGTTTGCTATGACATCTACAGTGAAATTTCACAATTCTCAATACCACAGCAGTATTAGTAAAAAACAAACAAACAAAAAAAGTTCTCAAAATGATTTGAAAATAATTAACATGTCAGTAATAAAAAAATGCAAAGGACAAATACAATAGAAAAAAAGACACAAATGAAAAACTGCTTCAAGTTTTTTTTTTTGGTCCTTCTTGTTGCCCACCAGGATTATGGGAACGTTGGGGCAGAAGTGCTTGACCTCCGGAGTCCATTTCTCGGGAATGTTCTCTGCGGGTCAGAGGGGTCAGAGGTCAGCGGGCACGAGGCTAGCGTGAGCGCAGCTAGCGCGAGACTCACCCAGGCTGTCGGGGCTGTCGATGGAGAAGCACATGAGGATGACGTCGGTGTCGGGGTAAGAGAGCGGCCGCAGACGGTCGTAGTCCTCCTGACCCGCCGTGTCCCACAGCGCTAGCTCCACCTGAAACACCACACGCTAGCGTTAGCACAGCTCGCGGCCGCACGAACCGCTCGCTCCTCACCTGCTTGCTGTCCACCTCGATGTCGGCCACGTAGTTCTCGAAGACGGTGGGCACGTAGACCTCGGGGAACTGGTCTTTGCTGAAGACGATGAGCAGGCAGGTCTTCCCGCACGCGCCGTCGCCCACGATCACCAGTTTCTTACGGATCGCCGCCATTCCTGCGCGGAGAGAGTCTCGCTCGGCTGATCCACTCCCAGCTCTAACAACAACACGCACACATTATATCTGATCTCAACATCAGGAAATCAAATCAATTACATTTAAGCTGTGTATGAGAATCGAACCCGTGGTATACAGAAATGCCTTTCGCTATATTTTATATTCACTACACTGCTGTTCAAAAGTGTGGGATCGGTCAGATTATTAATGTGTTTTAAAGAAGTCTCTTCTGCTCATCAAGGCTGCATTTATTTGATCAGAAATACAGTAAAGTTGTGAAATATTATTACAAATTAAAATAACAGTGTTCTATTTTAATATACTGTAAACTGTAATTTATTTCTGTGATGCGCAGCTGTATTTTCAGCATCATTACTCCAGTCTTCAGTGTCACATGATCTTCAGAAATCATTATAATATGCTGATTTATTATCAGTTGTGCTGCTTTATATTTCTTTGGAAGCTGTGATACTTTTTTCAGGATTCTTTGATGAATAACAAGTTAATATGTAGGGGTGGGGGGGACATCGATACAGCATAGTATCGCGATATTTTCCGCGGCAATACTGTATCGATACACGGACGCCAAGTATCGATCTTTTATTATACTATTTGGTAGAATAATAAAATCAATTTCTTTACAATCCACTAGATGGTGGGGTTGAGTTTTTTCTGGTGAGTCAGCTGGGTCACCTTCAGCATGCAGTAAGTTAGTAAAATAAAGAGGGCGGCATCGCGGAAAGTTATCAGGAAAGCCCCGTCCACGTTTAAATCGGATGTATGGACTTACTTCAGATTTGTAAACAAGGAGGGGATGTAAGTAGGGATGCACCGAAAATATAGGCTACATATAATAATAATATT